AAGCCAGTTTAATCACTGAGTATTCTTAAAGTGATAAACTTTGGACCAAGGGATCATTTCTCATACATTTTATCATCTTGGTTCTTAATTTTGCACACGAGATTTCTAAATTTCTAAGTTTCTATTTGCTGTAACCTAGTGTCACCAACTAGATGTTATTACACTATAATTTTATGTGAGCATATTAGTTAAAATGTATGATTATTTAATAGATATAGAAGAGATTTTTATAGTCAGCTATTTACATTTTCTCAGAAACAGAACTACATGTTTCAAATTCTCCAATAATTCCTAGGTATCACCATATATTCACAAAGTATTCAAATTTTCTCAAATGTTGCACACTGTAAGATTTAAGTTTTTGTCAAATCAAGGTTCAGAGTGCATACTGCAATTGTTTGATATGTATTTTATGTTGCTTTTCATTTATAATTCTATTTCATCCATTATTCCTGCTTGCAGTTATTCGCACAAGAAATTGAGTGATTTGTCTTGAAGAATTTCCCAGCGTCTGGGTTTTGCTCAATATATCCACCTAGGTGTACGTCACATGTTCTTCCCCTTGTGTTTTCTCTGCACTAGTGGGATTTGGAGACTTGCCAAATTTAGACATCTTCCTTTCTCCTTTTCCCTTTCCTTTCTTTGCCTTGGAAAACAGACACTTTGTAGACAATAATGGGTACTTTTATCAGGAGGCACATGTGTGGTTGTTTCTCTTTTAATGGTGTTGACTGGCACTAAAAATGATTCTCCAGATCAGCTATTTCAGAGATGTTCTATGATGCCTCCATTTCTTATCTGAAAAGTTCTATTTGGCAAGTGTACTCTATTTTCTGCACTCACTGCCTCCTCCCTGAACTGCTTACTCGTGTTGTGCAAGTGTCATCCGAATCCATATCTATTCTGCACAGTAATATTCTTCTTGTGTCTATTACTTAATCTTAGTTCAGTAGGCAAATATATGTTAAATTCTCACTAGTGCTTCTTACTCTCATTCCTTATTGTCTGCTTTCTGGTTATTTTTGTTCTCTGAAATTTGTTTCATAGTAGAATTCATAGGGAGGGCTTCATGGAAAAATTATTCCCTAAATTCTCGTCTATTTGCAAAATGTTCAACATTTTTTATTTGAAGGCCACTTTGGATGTGTATAAAACCCTTTGCTTACATCCTGACTAGGATGTAAGGTTTGACCTGAGCACGGGTGAGACCACCGAGGCAGGCAACATTTAAGCAGCATAAGATGAGTTTATTGCCATCTGAGTGCAGATGGGCCAAGGGCAGAAAGGCTGTTGGCATAGGAGAGAGATCGAGCGCAGTTAAGTAGGAGAGTTAAGTAGGAGAGGGAGTGTCAGCTCGGAGGGTGGAAAATTTGGGGGCCTCAGGATGGGGTGAGGGTAACAGGGCAATGGCAGGTACAGCAAGGTACAGCATTGCCTTGTAGTTTTGTTGAGAATTGGTCCCCTTGCAGGTGTGAATGAGCGAGGTGGTAGCTGGCTTCCTGTCATTGCTTTTCTTGCAGGCAACGAGTCTGTTTTTTCTCTCCATGGGACAGGGTTCTCACTTAGGGAGCATGTCACTAAGGAGGGTGTCTCAAATATATTGGGAAGAGTCATTGTTTTCTATTCTAAAATATTTTTGTTCAAAAAGCAATCAGGTTTCCTTTTCCTTGCCAGTGACTTGGTCGTTTTGTCTAGAATGTCTGTCAAAGAACTCTTTTTTCCTCTTTAAAATCATTTTTATTAGAATATGTCTCAGTGTGGTCTCTTCAGGTTCATATTTGGTTTACCCTTTCATTATGTATGCTGCTCAGAGTTTTCATTTATTTCAGAAGTTTTCCAAATTATACATTTTAGTGTGGATTCTATGATACTACATTACCTATTCTTATTGGGGACACTTCCTTCATAAGTGTTGGATTTTGTTTGCCTTTATTTGTCTATCACTTTTTGTAAGTTGCTCTTTCTTTTGTTTTTACATTTTCATTTAATTTCCTCTTTCTTATACTTTACTCTTTATAAGGCATTATGTATCTATCTAAAGATTTTAACCATTATTCAGATTCATTTGTTCTTTTATTCTTCTTTGCTTTACTCATCTTTTCTGAAGCTTTTAACTTTGATTTCTAATTCTTTCTTATTTTCTTTTTTCCCGATATCCTTTTCTCTCTGTCATCATTTCATTTGACTATTTCTAATTCTGGCATTTTTCATAGTTCTGTGATTTTCAGTTTTTAGCTAGTTTTGAAACAGAAGTATTTTTTTGTCTTTTTTGGGGGAAGTTTTCTGGCATACTTCCATTATCTGCATGAATATCATTCTACTCATTATTCTTTTTCCTTACAAAACTTTGCCTGAGATCCATCAATAATACATCTTTCTTTCTCATTTTGATAAGAAGCATTTTCCTGTATTTAAAGAAAAAGAGGGTCATGTGACCTTTCCTGGGCGGATGGCTGTGAAGCTCTCCATAGTCCTATTCTGGAGTTTCTCTTCTGTCTGACTTTAGTGTCTCTACCCCACTTCTGTTGAGCTTGTCCTCCAGGCATTTTCCCTGAGATCGGGCATTTGTTTTGAAATGGTGTTTAGATTGGTCAATTTGGGGAATGTTTGATTTTAAGACTCGTCTCATGATCTCTCTATTTTGTGGTCCTTCGAACTCATGAATACAGCCTCTGTTGGCCCTTCCCAAGTGTGTCCACTTTCTTGTTTGTTTTATTTTGTTTTGTTGAGACAGGGTCCCTTTATGGAGTTCAGGCTGGCCTTGAACTCATGATGATCCTCCTGCCTCAGCCTCCTGAGTGCTGGGGTTACAGGCATGCACCAACCACCCCACCCAGCTTTCACTGTCTTCACACCGGCTCCCTGAGCTCTCAGCACCAGTAAAAGGCAGGGAAATGCCTACAGGAGTTCCCAATTTGTAGGTACCTGCCAGTTAGGAATCGTGTCCTGGGTCTCTCATCAGAATTGCTTTGTTTTTCCTCCATTTCTCTCTCAGAGTTGCTGACACCACGTGGACATGATGACAGGTCCAACTTTTGGGAGATTTCTGAAATACTCTTCCTTGGAATTTGGCTGTAGATGTTGGTCATGAAATTTTGTTTTATTGTTCTAGCTTCTCTGGCTATTTTTATTGGAGGTTTGGGAAGATAGCAAAACCCGATCAGTGAAGCCAGTGCTATCTTGATGGAATCTAGTAATCAGTTTATTATTCTTATCTCATCGCACTAATTGGATTTAAACTTTTTTCTTGAAGAGTTTAAAAAAATAGGGTAATTGGCAATCATTTTGCATATTTGGGGTATTGACTGCTAAGAGCCTATGAATTTAACCATATGCTTTTTTTGAGGTCTTTTGCTGTTGTCATGTACTATAATATAATTTAGTCACTTTAGAACAGCAATGGCTAAATAACTTCCCAAGAGAAAGTGTGCCTGTTCTAAATGTGTATATATGTAAGTACACACAAATTTACTATATGTAATATTTATGCATCATGTACAACGAAAAGTATATCAGAAATTGATTTGGTTTACAAATTTTTAACATTTGTGCTTTTTAATTTAAAAAAGAAGATGTAGATTTATTTTTGCTTATAAAAGGCTAAGGAATGTGCTCCCATTTTAATCATTTCTGCTTTTATCCTAAATGTTTTCTTCTCACCTAATAAAGAAGGGAAGGAATGTTTTGCCAAGCATAAGACCCATTTGGATCTGTGGTTTCTAAATGTCAAGCCTGAATCTAACACTCTAAAGTTTAACCTTGTTTGCTTTTGGCTAAAGTGGCTTCCTGTTTCTAAGAAAGGGGGAAAAATAATGTTCTAAAAGTCTATTAGAAAGATTACAAGTCTTCTCCAAAACCCAGTGCACACATGACAAACCACTTTCATGTATTAAATAAAAATGTAAATTAAATTTACCTGTAACATAAAATTGGCCTTATAAATTCAGAAAGGTAGCAGAAGACAGAGACAAAATGTCCTTGAGAAAAAGGCTGCTAGGTTTTGGGCAAACCCAAGCATTTGAAAAACATGGTTCCTGGAAATGAACCCAATATTTGTGTAGTTTTTGTGTTTCTCATTCTTATGATTTTGTTGTATTTATTTTCACAATCAACTTCAAATGACACCCCTGCTGGTTTAAAAAAAAAAAAACAGGGTGGCTGAAAAATTTGGTTAAACTTCTTAATACTTTTAATCCTTACTTGTTATAATTTGATTACTGAGAGAGATTTTCTCTGTGGGCCTCCTATTAAATCACTTTCAAGTTGAAACAAACCAGAAATCCTTTAAATAACAGAGCAAGTATTCACTTTAAGCTTCTCGGAATTTATACAGAAACTGTAGAATGTCTCTTCTAGAAGGTTGTAAATGTACCCAGAGGCTACTGTGACAAGCTTATTCTTTCAACCCAACCCTAAATAGATAAATAAATAAATGAACATGATGTTCTAGGTTATAAAGTAGAGGACACTGAGTTTCAACTGTTTATTTTCCATGTTCTTATGTATCTGTGTTTTCAGGGTTAAAGCACATTGACCTGCAGGATAGTATTTCACTCTATGTACTCATTAGCACAATTCTGCCAAGTGTAATATTATAAAGATATGGTCTAATACAATCTTTACATTATATATATTATATATGGAAAATTATTGTTTGCATGTTTTTCTCCTTTATTTCTGAGTGGTTTCAGAATATTATGTGTCTTTAAGAAGTAACTTTGAGGGGCCAGGGATTTAGCTCAGTGGTTCCGCTGCCTGCCTCTCAAGACCCACGTTCGATCCCCAGTATTGAAAAAAAAAAAGTAACTTTGAATATTTTTACCTACAGGGTAACCCCAAACTAGAAAATTTATAATAGCGAAGTCTATCCCTAGAGGAAAAAAGAGTGGAAAGGGCAATAATCACATGTAATTACTACTTTTTGAATGTAGAGATATTTTGGGAAACCTGAAGAATCCATGTTTCAGGAGCTCAGTTTCTGAGATTTAGGTTGAGAAAACTTAGACTAATGCCTAGGGATTTGCATTTTAAACATGCAGTGCTGCCCGTTTTCTTCAAACCAGTTTGATAAGTAACTTTGTTAGATTTTAGATACTAGGTTAAGAGTCTGAAAACAGTTTGAGAATTTTAAGGCAAGGAAAGAGATGCGTTTTTGAAAAAAGGAAAATTAGCAATTGTGCTTCAAATAGTGGCAGAGAAAACATTGGGACAAATAAGAGCAAAAATTATGAATATGGTAGTAGGCTTGATGATTGGTTAAATAGAGAACAAAGTATTTTTCAACTTTATAAAGCTCTATTTTCACGGGAACACAGAAGGTTGTGCAGACGTCGGTAGCTACGTGGACAGGAAGTTGTAGACGGTCACGCCCTCGTCTCAGTTCTTCCGGGTAAGATGTGAGGAGAGTCATTTCTCCCTCGCGCCGGGTCCCTGACCTGAACTACTTTGTACATTGTGTCCTGACCGAGTCCTGACTTCCGGGGCTGCTGCTCCACGGCTCATTCTCTACTCGGCCCTCAGAACTGGTCTTGACCTTTGGCTTGCCCTCACTAGCCACAGCTGAGACAGCCCTGGCCGCCTTACTGCCCAGTGCCTTTGTCCGACCTGGCTTCCTCTCCTCCCATTACTGAACGAGGTCCTGCCTAGAAGGGCCAGCTTCTCAGAACCGGAGTCAAATCTGGCCCTGCTCCTGTCTGTTCACAGCCTCTGCTGCCCCCACACACTGTTCCGCTTCTTGTGTTGTCTTCCGGGCACTGACTGAGGTGTAGCTTGCCTTTGGGGAGGGAGATATGTGCCATCCGCTGCCCGTTCTAAGGTCAGTCACCGGTAGCCAGAGACACATCTGTTGGCTCCACGGTTCCCAAATTGTGTCCACTGTAATTATCAGAAGAGTATGTTAAAATCAAGATTGCACAGGCACCCGTAGTTCTGTAGAGCAACACAGAACAGTATTACGGGCACCATCGGATTACCTGGGGCCTCCTTAGGAATGTGAATTCCTGGGTTCTGCCTCCGCTCTAGGGATCAGGCTGTCCCCCCGGGGAGCCCAGCAATCTGTTGTCCCAAGAGTAGTTCTCACTCTGGTGGGGTCCTCAGGCAGACTTACTGATTCTGGCTAATGCGACTGTTGGCTGTTGGTATGGAAACATTGCAGGTCTCAGACTTGTGGAGGCAGAACTGTATTCTAATGAAATGTCCAGCTTTTGGAACGGCTGGTCTGATAATCGTTTTTAACAGGTTGCCTCAACTACTTGTAGGTGTAACAGAGTTGAACACCTACACTGACACATGCCCTACGCTCCAGTGAGGACCGCTCATTCTCCGCTTGGTGTCGCTCGAAGCATCTTCTGTTTACAGGTACTTCTCCCATTGCTCTATGGTGAACAGTGCTGGCTCTGTGTAATGTCTGTTTTCCAGAGCTAATTTGAAGGCCTGACTACTTAATACCTATAAAACTTGTTGAGATCCTCTTCTAAGTCCCAGGGTCAAGGAAGCACCCATATATTTGAGGCTTTGCTATCAGCGGTAGTATAATAGATTTCATCATGACTTTCATATAACTTCCTCAAAGGGATGACTCCACTCTCAAATTAGGTCTTAAGACAAAAGAAATAAATCCAAAAATATAGAAATAAAGCAATTCTAAAGCTTGATCCTCCAGTATCTCCCCAAAATAGGATACGGACCAACAAAATGTCTGTATATTCTTTTGTTATTCATTTGAACTGAATATTTGAACTGAATATTCAAACTAACAGGAAGCTCTGCTCAGTTTGCAGTATTTTATCTGTCACCCTCACCATTCTCAAGCATGAGCTATAACGTCTGAATAATGAATTGAACTCATTGTTATGGTTTAGATCTAGAATGTCTTTCCAGAGCCGCATGTGCTCAGAAGGGGGCTTTTAGAAAGTGACTGGCTCACGGGGGTCTGTACTGTCTTGGATTCATGCACCAGTGAATCCAGGGCTTGAGCAGGCTGTTGGAAGGAGGGGCCTGGTAGGGAGTGCTGGGTCACAAGAGATGTGAGCGGAAGGCTCTCTCCCCGACTCCTCCCTTTGCCCTGTGCCTCCTGGCCACCAGGACACGAGCAGCTGTCTTTGGTCCAGGCTGTCCACCATGCAGTGTCTGCCTTGTAGCCAGCTGCCCACGGACTGAAAAGAGAGAGCCAAATAAACCCCTCCTCCTTTAAGTTGTGGGTGTCCAGTATCCTGTCTCAGTGACAAGAAAGTGACTAACACACTAATGCACTAATGAACTGCTATCCTTAGAGCTATAAACTTATAATTTTTACTTCGCAATATGTATAACAAAGCAAACTTACTTTGACCTCATTTAAAGATTGGACAGCTTCAAGTTTTCTATTGGGCATGATCGAAATGAGTAGCCATATTTATTTTATTAGAGATGTTATTAAATTTTAACCTTTATTATACAAACTACCTTGTTGTGTATTTGCCAGTGTATATGTCTATTTGCCACTACTTACTTAGCATGCAGAAAACAAAGACCTGGTCTTATTTATATTTGAAATCCCCACAGCATTTACTGGTGCTTTGCAAAATCTTAATAAATATTTATAGAAAATGGAATGACCCTATAACTCCTTCCTAAAACTTCCACAGGATGAAATTTTTTCATTCTATGTCTCTTTAGTGAAATGTTATCCCAATGGCCAGCCAGCTGGTAGGATAACACCTTGACTGATATGGTATGGGAAGGACCCTGCAGACTTATCTGTTCTCTCTGTGCTTGCAGAAGAGACTGTGGATTAGGTGACGATAGTAAATAGCTTCACGAAGAAAATAGCTGAAGTTGACCTTATTCCTAGCACAGACAGAACCTTCTCAACTGTTAAAAATAATGATCTAAAACCCTCATAACCACTTCCTGTCCATCAAGCCTTATGAAAAACTTTCTCACTAATATATTTAAAGAGACAGAAATACTGAAAGAAACTATGCCTACTAAGTTATGGGAAAAGGACAAAGTAAAAGAAAATGACCTAAGTTGATTAATAGGAAATTGCTGCTTGTGTAGGTGAAAAAGGATTGAATATTAACAATTTCCTATGGTTTAACTCAAGGGCTGTTTTGCAATTCCCAAGCATATTCTTTCCACTTGAAATCATAGTACCCAGTGGTGCCTTTCAAGTAACTGAGTCTTTCAAGTAAAAGTCTTTCAAGACTTCAAAGGATATGGCAATTTTTGTCAACTCCAACAACTGAGTTCAGGAGATTCATGAGTTTTGTAAACTAAGGTTCTAAGGACATTTATGGTTATAAGCTCTGTGGATTTTGTTTTAAAATTGGAAGTCTGCATTTAGCTCTTTTCTAATAAAAAGGCTGCTGATAAGCCAGATGGAAGCTGGAATGTTTTGCTGGCTTGATGGCTATGAACTGGACAGGGTGGAGGGATGCACAGAGAACGGCATAGCGTAGCTCTCAGTGTGTCTGGGAGGTGTTTCCAGGGACGCTGGTGTTCAGGCCAGCCAGGTGGGGAAGGCCTTCCTGACTGTGGGTGGCACTGTTCCAGGTAGGGGACCTGGATTGGCGGACAGCCTGCTGTCACCTGCACTGGGCTCTTTGTGGATGCATTTTTCTCTCCTATCTCCCTTGATCATGAGACTCCAGGTTCTTTAGCCTTTGGATGAATGCCCGCTTTCCTTGGGAGCTTTCAGAGCTGCATTACTGGCCTTTCTCTCAGTTTGAACCTTCCAACTTCTTGAATCAAGAAGCTGCCAATTTATCAGAGTCATGGTGAGACCATTTAGCCTCTGAGTGTATGAGGCAAAAAATAAATATCTAAATATCCTCTTATAGTCATATACATTTGATTGGTCCCACTTCTCTGGAGAACCCTAGTACAACTGCATTTTCTCATTTGTACTTGGTAAGCAGAACAGATCAAGTCATGTTTGCTAAAATGTGAATTGGTAGGACAGACTTACTGCATTGGAATATTGGGGCAAAGCCCCTGAAGTCAGAATTTTTACTAAGTGTTCAAGATGAATCCTGCCCACTAAAGCTGTTGACAGAGAATTACAGTCCAGCCCCTTTCCATGGGGAAATCAAGTCTGCAGTCAAATGCTCCACCATTCAGCTATACCCCCAGAAAGTCAAGTCTGAAGATGTTGAGGACCCCTGAAGTAGGAGAGCAAGTAAATAGTAGAGTTGGTTCTGTCACCCCAGTCTTTTGATTTGTGGTTCCACTTTTCCTTCTACCACACAAATGAGGCAGAAAATAAAGCACTTTTTTCCCCTCACTGCTTTCTCTAGTATTCTATTTTTCTCTTACCATTGTATGTGTTACAATCTAAATGAAAATGGCAAGTAACTCATGGAAAGTTGTGTTCATGGAATGTTTTTTTCTTGTAGTGTCATGAATTTTCCAACTTTTCTTCAGGTTCATTTATTAGATTTGTGGAATACTTCATGTTAATATGCATAACCCATTTTCTAGCATTAAGTTACCAACTATATCTCTGCCCTCAACACTCATTCCTTTTGGGAAGTTTTAAAGATATGCACAATATAACAATTTAACCCAGAAATTTTCAAGGATGAGTCCTAGCTTTTAGAGAATGAAAGTTTCTATTGTTTGAGCTAATTCAGAAAAATGGATGGAGATATTAAAAAACACTATGAAATTGCAATAACTCTATGTCTCAATATGATGACATGCATAAGAAGAAAATTATAGAGCCAATTATATTTGTAACATAGATACAAAATTTCTAAGCTTTTATTCTTTTGGTACCTGGAATCAAATTCAGGTCCTTGCCCTTGCAAAGCAGGTGGCAGAACCACTGAGCTAAATCCCAAGCCCAGTACAAAATTTCTTAGTGACACATAATGATATTATTTTAGCAAATATCAAAAGAATAATTTACCAAATTTAAATGAGATGTATCCTAGGAGCATAATCAAAGTTAAATATTAGAACTCTTTGTACATTATTTTTAATATTAGAAATTAATGAGAATCTTGTTTTTGGCAAGTTAGAATAATCACACCCAACCCTGTCTCTCCTATTGAATGTCACTATGATTCTTGTGCAGCATGCATGCAAATACTATTTGAGTACTCAGAATGTGTCAGGATGATTCTGGAAGACTAGAACCTAATATACCACCAAGTAGGCAGCAAAGTTACTATATTATTCTCACTGGCATTCTCTATGCTGAAGTTTGTAAACCGGATGTAGGTACCCGCATGTAGTCAGAACAATCTCTTGGAAAAACCCTCTTGTTCTGGCTCAAGGAAAAGAAAATAAAACTTCTAAATTTCAGAGACAGAGTATAGAGTGCCTGGATCATTTTTCCTCCATTTCTTGTACACCAGCCACCAAGCAAACCTGTAGTCACGGAGAAGGAAGCTTCAGAGGAAACCTGCTGGGGACAAAATTCTCCCTTCCTCATGACTGGTGGTATACCAGAAGATGGTATAGACCCGAACTTCTGCTCCTCTCCTCATACCATACTCTTGTCACTTGACTCTAGGTAGAGATGCAGTCAAAGAAGTGTGTGAAGAGAGGGGTAAATAAAATACCAACTTCTTGGCCAGAAGTGTGAAAGGGCAAGCCCTAGAAAATGGGTAAGTACTTGGGAAATGTGGAGAGGGAGGTGCTTAGGAAAGTAGTTCCATAAATTCGCTGTTAATACCTGGCCTCACTGTTGAGATATATGTGTGAAGATCTGATCCTAAACACTACGAAAAGTGACTTAAAGAGGTGAACTAATCAGTAGATCACTGCTCAAGTCATAGACTGATCCCAGCTGACACACAGGTGGGTCAGACACTTACAGTTCTGAAAGGCTTTGAAAACCAGACTGACATTTGGATCATAGTCTACAGAAGATGGGTTAGAATTTGCAGCCTGAACTTGACCAAGCTGACTACTTATTAATATAATGCTAACATTTCTCAATAAAATTAAAATAGAACCTCCTATCTCATGACATAATACTCAAAGCAGGAATTCAAAATAACGTGGTATCTGTGTTTTGTGCAGCTGTAACAGAGAAGAATTATTGGGTTAATTAAATGAACAGAAATTTATTGGCTCATGATTCTGGAGACTGGAAAGTATGCAGTTAATGGGCTGGCATCTGGTGACAGCATTTAGGTAGGTTATTCAGTGGAGGAGGAACAAAGAGAAGGTGAGAGAGCAAGATAGAGCTGAAATAATCCTTTTATAAAGAACCCACTGCTGCCGTAACAAGTCCATTGTGTCAATGGCAGTAAAAATTCATCCATGAAGCAGCCCTCATGGCCTAATCCTCTCCTAATGGTGCCACCTCTCCGTACTGTTAAAATGGTGATCAAATTTTCAACACATGATTTTTGGGAGACACATGCAAGCCATAGCACTCAGCACATGAAAAACTAAGACTGTTTTAACATGCATGGGAAAGACAGTCAACAGATGCCAAAATTGAGATGACGCAGGTCTTGGAATCATATAACAAAGACTTAGAGATGCTGCAGCAAGCATTGAAAACATTTGCAGTGAGTGGAAAAAAGACAAAGTTTTAGCAGAGCATTAGAGGATATGTATGTAGAAGTAACAACTGGACATTTGAGAATGCAAAAAAAGATGAACAATAACAACACTAACAAAACAGACGAAGACTTCACTGAATTGGCTTGAGAGCACATAGGAGATGGAAGTCAATGAACCTAAAGAGGGATCGATACAAACTGTCCTATTAGAATAACAGAATAAAGAGCCTCAAGAAAATTAAATAGCCCCCAGGAACTTGTGGGACAACGATAAAATATCTAAAATGCATGCCATCAGAGTACAGTACTGAAACAATTGGAGAAAAATGACTAAAAAATTCTGAAGTTTAGCAAATGACATAAAGCTACAGATTCAAGTTCCTTGAAACACCAGCATGACAACCCAAAGAAGTCCATGCCCAGATACATGAAAACGGAACCAACGAAAACTAAATTCCAAAAAACACCAACTGAAATTATCCAGACAAAAATGACCCAGTCTTTATACAGAAGCAATGACTGACTATCTGTGGATTTCTTATCGAAAAGTCAGAAGCTGGAAGGAAGTGGGATGGCATTTTATCAGACCGAAAAGAAAATATGTGTTGGCTCCGAATTGTGTACTCCACAAAAACTTCCTTCAGCAAGGATGGTAAAATAAAGCCATCTCGGATGGAGAGAAAGGAAGAGAAGAGCATCCAGCTGACCTGCTTTAAAAGGGCTGGGAACGCAAATTCTTCTCACTGAAGGCAGATGATATAGAGAGGAAATTGGAACCATAGGGACGAGGACGAGCAACAGACGCGGTAAATGTCTGGATGAACCACATAGACCATTCTTTTCTTTTGAAGTCTTTAAAATATATTTGATAGTTGGAAGTAAAACTTATAAGATTGTCTGATGGGAATTTCACTATGTGGATACAATGTATAAGACAGCTAAGTATAAACAAGGAGGTTAAGAGGACTTCTAGAGGGGCTTGGTTCCTACATTTAACTTGAAGTAGTAAAATAAAGCATGAAAAGTAAAGCACGTCTGCTACGAACTCTAGCCAACTATTAAATCACTGTACAGAGGTACTCAAGGTTACAATATATAATGTAAAATGAAAAACTGAAAAACACTCAAATAACCCAAATAAAAGTTGTAAAAGCATGAAAGACAAAGAAAACACATAGGAAAATGCTACACCCAAACACATCAACGATTACATTGAATATAGTTTATCTAGGTATGTTATTTGAAAATGACTCAACATAAATTAAAAATAAAAACAAGACGCAACAAAATCTAGAAGAAAACAAAAGAAAATCCAACTTTTTACTGTCTATAAGAAATTTGCTTAAAAATGGCATAAGTAGTTTAGAAGTAAAATAGCTACAGATGTACGCCATTTGTTTTAATTATCTATTTATATGTATAACAAATTACCCAAAAGGTAGGACTTTAACCAGTGAAGATGTATTAACATTCAGTAGGTCAGCCGTCTAGACATGGGTAAGACTTGTACTTAAAAAACGATATTCAGAAAGTGTTGCTGTGTGGTATGACAGGCTGATGTTTGAGAGCCACTGATTTAGACTTCAAATAACAACCTTCATTCTGGGGAAAGGGAGTTGGTAGTCGAAGTCATGCAGTACACTGGGAAATACGACCGGGCAGCTACAGGTACTGCTAAACATCTACTGACCAAGGTGGCTAATACCGCTCTGCCTCTCCGAGCTAGAGAAATGCTTCTTTTTCCCTGAATGTACATAATTTATATAAAATTAATTCATTCATGTTTAACATTAATTAGGCATCCAACATAGGCCCGGCAGTGATTGAGGGCACTGAGGAATCAGCACTGAGTAAAACAGGCAATGATTCTGAATAAAGGCAAAAGAAAATTCAACAAAGAAATCATGGGATGCAAAAGTTGACGATTAAGATGTGGAAATGGAGTCAGTGCCAGGAAGAATGAGGTGGATGCATTTTTTTTTCATTTATGTATTTTTATCAATGCATGAAATTGTACATAACTGGGATATACTTTGATTCATATATACAACGTGTAATGGAAAGAAACAATGTATAATGGAGACGTCTCTGCCATTTCTTCAGGGGTAAATACATTCAAAACCCTTTCTTGTGGAACAGCACACAGTACTTCCCACTCCTGTCTAGTGATCACTTAGTACCCATTGACCAACCTTTTCCCACCTCGCTTCCCAGCCTCTAGAAGCCACTGTGTATTTTCAGTTTTGTTGAGACTAACTTTTTTAGATTTCTCACTTGTGAGATTGTGTTGTGTTTGTCTTTCTCTGCCTGGCTAATTTCACTTAAAATAGTGACATGTCCTTCCACCCACGTTGCTGCAAATGACAGGATATCAACTTTTTATGGTTAAACAGTATTCCATCATGTATATTTTCCACATAATTTTTTATGTAGTCACTCTTCTGATTCATGTTTAAATTGCTTTTACTTCTTGGCTATTGTATCATGCAGCAATAAATGTAGGAGTGCAAATATCTCATCCACATATTGAGCTCATTTGCTTTGGCTGTGTAGCCAATAATAGGACTGCTGTGTCAGGTGGTAGTTCTATTTCCAGTTTTGGAGGAACCTCGTTATGTGTCCCGTATCAGTACACGTAAGGCTGTACTGATTGACCCTCCTAGCCGAAGTGTGCTAGGGTTCCTGTTTCTCTACATTCTCAGGACATTTGCTGTCTTTTGCCTTTTGATAGTAGCCATTTTAGTTGGGGGGATGTGATTCCACACTGTGGTTTGGATCTGCATTTCTCTGATGGTTACACATATTGTGTGTTTTTATCTATTATCTGTTATTATCTATTATTGGTTATATGTACGTCTTCTTTTGGGAAATGATACATTTAGGTTTATTGACCATTTTTAGTTGGATTATTTGTTGTTTTGCGATTGAGTTGAGTCTCTTATATTTTGGACCTTAACTCCTTGTCAGATAGATAATTTGCAAATAATTTCTCTCCTTGTGTAAGTTGTCCCTTTACCTTGTTGATCATTTCTTTTGTTTTGTCAAAGCTTTTAGATTGATGTAATTCTATTTGTGTCTTTGCTCTTGTTTCCTGTGTTTCAGAGGTCTTATCTGAAGAATCCTTGTCCACTTCAACATCTTGAAACTTGCATCTGTTTTCTTCTAGTAGTTTCATGATTTCAGGTCTTATGCTTAATTTTCTAATCCAGTTTGAGTTACTATTTGAAAACAGCAGTCAGGAAAGGACTCAATGAAATAGTAACTTTTGAAGAAAAACCTGAAGGAAGCATTGCCTGGTTAATGATAGTGTAAACTGTTTAATCCGCTAAAAGGAAGTCCCCACATGGGGTCCCAATATGCTGTCATTCCTGGGCATGCCACATTTGGAGCACCTATCCCGTGGGGAAGTTCATTATGTTGGATTCTTCCTTATCGATGAGGCAGGCACGTGTCATCCCTGGATGAGAGATATGTTCTGGGTATGGACTTGCTTTCCCTTCCAGAAGTCAGTGCTCCTTTCCCACAATCCTCTTTTCAGTAACAGCATTGGTGTGCTCAGAGGGCCTTTGTCACCTGTCATGGTGATCACTACATCACTGTATTTTTCAGATAATACAGTTTACACCAAGAACCACCGTGATGGGATCCTGCCCATGGGATGGACTGGTTTTAACACCTATGCCAGCATGTGGTACTGTTGGCCAAAGAGGAAAGGGCACAACCCTCTGAAGCGTTCTTCCTTACAATGTGTGGTGCACATTCTGGCTTCCAGACCACGCTGTGGTACAATCTGCTTCACAGCAGAACGGAGAGTCTGAGAATGAAGGAATGACTTTACCACCCAGTAATCTTAATTTGATGCACTGGGCTCTCTCATCATCACTGTCATCTTTCTAACTCTTTCCTTCATCAGTCTTTTTCTCAACTGGGAATGCCAGTCTACTCTCCAACCCACACAAAATCATTGTCTGTCTTCTCTTCCCTTTAAATGAGTTTATGCTTTGTCTGGTCAGTGATTACATTTCCTTGTGTATATCATTGATCTTCTTGTCCTGTTTTTATTGTATTCTGACAAACTCACAATTTTATTTAAATTTGCCTCTTCACTCATTTTCTATCTGTACCTGTACAGATTGATATGAATGGATAAAATTATGTAACAACCCCAGTGGTCTCTCTCAAAAGTCATGGTCATGATCAAAAAAGATTTCCTATTATCTCTTTTTCTTAAACCACAATGTCTCCTCATCTATTCTAATTCATCTCCCTGATCCACTGAGAATTTCAAAACACTCAAAAGAGAATTTCTTTCCTCTTACCACCACAACTGCAGTTTACCAGATTCTATTCTTGTTCTGTGTACCAGCCTGTTCCCATCGATGAGCTAGCTCTTCATGCCCTTAATTTCTTTAAGAGCAGTCTCCCCAGTGGTGCACTGGATCCAGGTCCCTGAAGCAATGAACTTGCAAGGAGACAGTGAGTGTTCTGGTAGAAGCAATTTAATAAGTATAGTATCTGTGTATAATGAAAATTTCTTTAACTTTGTTGCTTGAATCTTGAGGAAAACAAGGTCTGATTAGATAAAGCAACAGTCATTAGTTTCAAACAGTAAAGAAAAGAGCTACATGCAGTAGTCTACTTTTTGAAAAGTTTTAACTCACATATACTGATGTCTCAAGGAACTGGAATAATAATCCTGTATAATGGACATTATGGAACTCACTGAAATTTGTATTTGGAAATGTAAATTTTCTGGAATAGGCAGGAGGTGGTGAATGAGCTAGTTTGCTCATCTGTGGGAAACCTACCTAGATTTCTTCGTAGACAGGTGAAGGCCTTTTATCTAGGATATTTTCCCTAGTTAATTTGGTACACAGTGATCTCCATTATAGCCAATTTTCTGTAATATTTGATATTTTTTCCATAACTTTTGTCACTTATTCCCAAGCCATCTTTCAATGCTATTTATTTCTTTCATTCCCAAACTCTGATATTTATTCTAATTTCCACTGATCCAATTACAACATACTTCTTAGCATTTCTCTAAACTACAATTCTCTGCTCAGATTTTCAGTCATTAATGACACAACTTTGCTCTTGAGTCTACAACTTAGACAACTAGTAGCGGTATAAAATGAAATGACAAAGAAAGAATGAACCTCAGAATGATAAAAAAGGAGGGGCTGAAAATTAGGCAATAATTTGTGGATGCAAATAAGATTTATTTTAAAAGAACACCTACAAAATAAAAATTAGAAAATATCCGTCACAGTTAAAGTGTTTAAGGAAGGGATGAGTCATTATTTACCTTAGAAGTCAATCTGTAAACACAAACTTCACATAGTAATGTGTGAACAGAATCAAGATTAAAAATTATAAAATAATGAAAATTATTTTTAAGGTACATAATTGAACAAGATAATGTGGTATGTAAAACACATCTTGTGTGTGCTAGAGATATCGAAAATATTGTGATCTCGAGAGCAAGCCAGTGAGCTAGCTATCCTGTAAAGCACTTTTGACTAATGTGAAAGTCATAGTATTAGGCGTAATTCCTCAATGGACCGCTACATGGCTTCCATTTCTCTCTAACTTTATACTCTTCACCAACTCCCTTGAAATTCTGAGACCTTAGGATGGTTACCTCTTCAGAATAAAACGTTCTGTTATAAATATTAACAACTCAGATGCCTCAAAATGAAGTCCAGCCAAAGTGTCTTTTCTTCCAACCACTTTTTTTTTTTAAACAAAAGCTTTATTCTTTGGTGGTTGAATTTTAATTATTTGTTTTTGAACAAATAAGTCCCATTCTTGGGAGTAATTTTTGTGTTTTCAATAAACAAAGATGTGGGATTGCTGTTCACATTCAAACTGGGGGAGAATATATCCAAGTGATGACAATCCTGAGTTTAAAGCTTAGACCAAATTTTCGGTAACTTAGTTCATTATTTATATTTATCACGAACGTCTCCAAACTTGCAACCACATGTGTTAATGTGGAAACAATTTGGACTGGGGGTGGGGGTTTGTTTTAAATTTACTTAGGGAATCCTGAATTACACTGGAGACCTTTAATTGAGGAGTCTTCCCTCGAGTACCAGTGTCACCAGTAACCACTATGTCCTCAGAAACTTTTTAATATTTGAGTTAATGTTTAGAGAATTTTTTTTCAGCTTTAATTGAGTTTATTGGTACATTCTAGGGATACAGTACAGTTACATTCATTGTTGGGATCTTGTACCTCTACATGACAAGTCTTGATTCTCATTTTTTCCCCTTACCTCTGCCCTCCCTTCACCCCCTCCTCCCCAATGTTTAGAGAATTTAACCTGAAAAATCATGGGATTTTGCCTTGGCTGCCGACATTTGCATAATTGCTTTCCTGCATAATATAAGCACCTTAGATAAGGGAGCTCTTCACCCTATCTCCCCAGCCTAAAGTATCAGTCCTCTGCTTAGACATCTTAGCACCTCAGCTCATGTACTGCAGCGTCTGTGAAAGATCCAAGCTTCACCCTTTGGTAAAGTTATTATAGTTTGTTTCTATCTTTGTTTTCTTATTAGAGTTAAAGAAAAATCAACCAGTTGGATTGCAGTCAAAGTACTAAAACCAGATTTTATTCAGAAACCACTGTAATGTGGGAAGAGATGTGGGTATAGAACTGGGCTCAGTTCCTAGTACAACATGGGTCAGTGGGACTTAACCAAGGCACAGGGTGTGCGTGTTTCCTGGGTAGGGCACTGGATGGAGACTTCCTAAGAGGAAACACCAGAGGTAAGGACAGAGTCTGGATTCTTGCTGAGGGCAGGCTGGGATGAAAGGGGGGTGGTACAGAATGTGGAATGTGATCACTTACTGAGGGGGGCAAAGTAACACCAGGGCTGAGGATTGTGTCTAAAGCTACAGATAGGCTCTGTAGGATCCACATGGACAGTGACAAGGTGAGGTCTACAGGGC